TGTTGTCTTGCACAGATGCAGCACAATTAAAATTTGTGCGACTTGCCACAAGATATTCATATTCGCTGCAAATACACGTGGCAATACACACCAAACTCGCTAAACCACGCCACAAATACTTTCACTTTAATAATATAGAATGCGACTGATTTATTATTCATGTCCATCCATCCTTCTGTCTCTCCTGAACGCTTCAGTATGTGTGCAGTAGAAAAACTGGTTTTTGTGAAACAAAAGAACGACACAATCCTCGACGTAACATCAACATCTATAGGGCTCAAGTGTAACTCAAGTATGCCCTATGGATGATTGGTGCTTCGTTGGGATTTGTGCCGTTCTGTTGTTTCATAAGATGACAAATATAAGTTGATGTAGTGAACTTCGTTTTTATTTAGTGCTTGCAGAGGATATGTGTATGAGCTGCGTATATGTGGTTCGTGCCTTGTAAATGTTTTCGCCCTAATGTTTCATTATAGGCCTACTGCGAGCACACAAGCTTCGAGCAAAGAAGGCCGGACGGTTTGAAGAAATTAAGGCCAGATGTAGTTTAGATGCTGTTTGCAATAAAATATGACCTGGAAAATCTTGGTTTGTTCCTTGGTGCTTCTTATTGCTTCTTTTCAAGCGTAGTATAGAAGCTTGTGGGGAGGAGGGAAAAGGTTGGTGTAAAATGAATGAGTGCACTACTATTTTCTGGCAATGCTAACCGCTTGTGAGGTTTTTAAGCAGTCTATTGTACGGATTTGTTCGCGGGCAGCAAACTTGCTGGAGGAAATTATATTATGGGCAAAAGCAATATTTAGGGTCACAGAAACAGGCTAGCGGAGTTATGCGGTTTACACAAAATGGACACACGGATGGACGGACGGAATCCCGGTCGGAAGGATGCACGGACGGATGGATGGACGCAGGGATGGATGCAAGCATGTACGGACAGACAAACAGACCAAATCACGGACAGACGGATGGAAGGAGGCACGGATGGATAGACGCACGGGTGAACGGATGGACGCACAGTCGGTTGGACACATGGACGGGTGGACGGACGTTTTGCCCCACTCATCAGTCACTCCAAGGATATGCTGTGAAATTCACTAACGACACCTAGTTATTATATTCCTAAGCACACATACACACAACGCCATCCATTGAGCAAATGAAAAACTAGAGGTGGCAACGGTGATGGAGAAGGGAACTTTCCAACTACTTTTTAAAGTTAAAAACTGCTGCTACCATTGAGCAATGCGAAAGAGATTGATTGATATGTGGGGTTTAACGTCCCAAAACCACCATATGATTATGAGAGACGCCGTAGTGGAGGGCTCCGGAAATTTCGACCACCTGGGGTTCTTTAACGTGCACCCAAATCTGAGCACACGGGCCTACAAAATGCGAAAGAGAATGTGAGCTCCACTGACAGGACCACGTTTCACTAATCATTCATGTACAAAGTCTTGAGTATAAGGTTTTTATTCACAAGAAACGTTTGTGGACGAGAAAACCGCATGCGTGTAGCCGAACGTATGCAAAGTGACTGCGGCTCACAATGCATACCTGTCACACGTGCCGCCAGAAGCCGCTTGGCACAGAAGCCGCTGATCCTCAAGCATGATGCGTTTGTAGAAGATCGCCATGCTTCCTTTACTGCACGAGAACGGTATAGGCTCACGGTCTCTTGTGCCGTCACTCATCACGTGGTATCTGAAATAATGAAGGAATATAGTGGTCAGTGAAGTGCATAGGCTGAAATCTTTTTGTTGTTGTTGTTGTCAAAGGGAGGGGGGTTAATCAAAGAAGCCCTTGGTATGGTCACTGTTCGTGCCATGGCGAAAAAATTAGGGATGGCACTGTTTCGGTGAGCCACCCCGTGTGTACGCCCGTACGGTCAGCTGAGGAACTGCCCTATGAATAGATGACGTTAACGGCGGCCAGTCGCCCGACCAATGTTATCTTGTATTTCAACACCCTATATGCTACACAGAAACACATTTGTATACTATACCCTTTATTTTGAGGCCAGTAACGAATACAATGCCTAAAAATAATCATCATGTCATTTATAGTATATCCCCGCTGACTGCAAGCCAACTCTGGCCAAGGCAACTTAAAAAAAAGATCACAGCCTATCCCCGTAGTGAATGATCATGAGTGGGGCGAAGCGTCCATTGGTCTGTGTGTCAGTCTGTCTGTGCATTCGTCCGATCACGTTCGAGAATGCAGATGGCGCCCAGCTAACACTAACGGGAAGGGAGCCAGGGAAACCAAGCGCAAGTGTCTTCAACACGCCGTCCGCTCTGCTTGTACACGCCCTACTATTATCCCTCACGCACGTTGACTATCCTGCAGACTGAGAGAGGCATTCGTTCTCCACGTATCCAGGCACAGCTCACGCAGCAGCAGTTTGGAGAGTAGCGGTACGACGCCATCGAGAATATCTTCACTTGACTGCAGTTTGTGTGCGATGATGATGATGATAGGTGACTGTTCCCTTTGAATCAGATGGTCACAGATAGTGTGACCTAGCCGTAAAAAAAACTATGCATTGCAGGCGTTGCAAACCAAGTGAAACGACGACAGGCCCGTTACCACAAGCGAGGCCTGTCACCTGGCACTTGTCAGTCCTGAATGGTCCCAAGCATCAAGAGAGGAGTGAGACACTCGGGGTAAAACATGGAGTTTCTCACAAGTACCTAGAGAGTAGTGTGGCGCCACCGTTTATGCGAATCTATAAAGGGGCGATGTTGGAGGGCTGGGATTGGCGGTATATGTATCTGCGAGGCTTGTGTTGGTTGGGGCTGAGTGAGGCTTCGGCAGAAAAGCGAAAAAGACTGCGTAAATAAAGCATCTCTAAAACAAATCTTTTATAAGCGGATCACAATAACACGTATTACATTGTAAAATAAAAGTCCACTCACTTTGACGGCACACCCAAATGGCGAAGTAAAAAAAAACACGTGGCGGAAAGAATGCTCGCTTTTTCGTCTGTCCGCCAAGTTAAGCGACCATTGATAACTTCTTACACTTCGTAAAATTGTACTTCAAGGTACAAGGTTCTAATGTTAACCAGAACACGTTTCTGTGTAATGACAAAAAATAGCTTATTACGTGCTCTTTTAGTGAGAAATTGAATATTTTAACGTTAATTCAGACGCGTCTTCCAGGTATACAAATCCGAGTCAAGTTCGAAGCTCACGTATCCCGTCACTTCCTTGCATCTAGCAGCTCACTAGCGCCATATTTCCCTCTAGGTATGATTGTGAGAAACTCTATGGCGAAAATCGAGGTTAGAGACGGGTGGCTTGTGATATAAATGGACTCCGCGTACGCTCTTTTTCGTACTCGTTTGCTCTATCGGTTACGCCGACGGTATTATGTTGCTTCTTCACGTCGCGGTGTTGCAAAGAAGATGAACCCACCAACGCCGCTGGCATCAACGGTTTTTTCTGCTTTTCACCCATTAAAGGACAGTGGCTTGCCGGCAAAGTATGCAGCACTGCTTCTTCTTGCTGCCTGAATACGAGAATCACCGTAGTCTACACGACCGGATAGAATTCTGGAGTTTGCGAGTAGCGACGACAACCGGATGACAGCGCAACTACGCCGCGTTCGCAGCGTGGTAGATGACATATTCGGTGGCACGGGCCAAGTAAAGTGCGAAAGACGCAGCGTTTCGGCAGCAGGAGAATTTCGGTCAATGTAGAAAGAGAATGCATTGGTGTGAGCTAGCGGTAACCCAGTCGTCGCCAGCGTTGCCAACAAAGGATGGCCAACACCGGTGAGTTCTGGGCGTCGCCGTTGTCGGCAACGTCGCGAAAGCCCAGCGCGCCCTCCGTGAAAGCGTCCGCCTGCAAGTACCGGGCTTCGTCGGCCGACACGGAGGCGATCTGAAAGAATGGTCCAGAACCTCTCGAAGACGATCCTGCTCGGAGTGCGCTGCCATGCACGTAGGTGACATCGCGATCCTCACGCTGTACCTCGCTATCAACCTGTTAAAGAAACAGGTTCAGGCGCTGGCGGAAAGCCGAGTAAAATTCCAAGCAAGTTGGGCGTGTTTTTCACGGTCCCGTTTATGGTGCAATCAGACGACGGACCGAATCCGGATGTGGAGGGACGGGCGGCGCGTCACGTGACCTCACATCAACGATTCCCCTCGTCCGCGACTCGTCCGTGCGACTCGCGGACGGATGACCCCAACTTGTTTCTCACATCGGGATTCTGGCGGGAGAAAGCCGATGCTTCAGCGGATAAGCTCAGGGTTTCTGGCAACCAGTACACTTTTCGTCTGCTCGCAGAATGTCCCCCATGGCTCGCGGACAGCTACATGACTGGTCGGCATCATCTACGCTTGAGCAAGGTTTACTTTGTTTACGGGGTCTTTGTTCTCAGATGATTGAATACGCAGGAATAACTTTTGGTGGTTCGGAAATGTCGTCGCCGTCGTTTGACACGCGAGATTCCTAGCCGTCACCATGGTGAAATATTCTAACTTCTGCAATCGGCGACGTGCCGCTTCTAAAAAAAGATGGGAGACGCGTTCAGAAGTTGTACAAGTGGGGAACAATGTAGTTGAAAGAACATTCTGACAGCAGCTCCCTTTTCTCCTGAAAGAATAACACTCCTCGTTCATTTGTCACAACACGACAGACATCGCAGCCAAGCGTCGCTTCTTGCGGGCATCCCTGTTGAATACTCTCAAACCGGTCTGCTGCCAGCGGGCGCAGGTGAGCACCGAATCTGGTGTCGAGAGTAATCTGGCTGTTTTCTCCTAGGACACCGTCCGTCGTGTGGATGCGCCTGCAGGCGGATCATCCGCGGAGCCGTCCGCGTCCACGACAAATCTGGATTCGGTTCGTCGTCTGAACGCACCATTATCGTCGTTCCGCGCTCTTTTGCATGCAGCTATTTTAAGGGCTACAGTTGCCACCGTAAGGCCACCGTAAAGCGAATCAACAGAAAACCGTCTCGGCTTTCTGTTGTTGACATCGTTTACCTTGGAGCAGCAGGCACAGCCGAAGCCTGCACGCTCCAAGCACAAGCCCCAGTCTCAGCAGACCGGCAGCCAGGTCACTGCCACCCGCTCCGAGGCCCCAAGCGTAGGGAAGGCGACAGCCGGTACTTCCTTCTCCCTTGACCCGGCCGTAGCTTCTAGCGAGGGAAAAACTCTCCGCAACAACACCGAGACTGAAGTATTGTGCACCCCAGTTACTTCATCGACATACAACGCTCTGGATACGATGTAGGAAGAAATCGCAGACCCCAGCTTCGACTTCCTACGCCCTCACCCCACTTGCTCTCCAATCGGATGGCTGGCACACCAGCGGTGTCCCTACCATAGCTTCCGTCCCCTTCTGCAGCAGTAAGAGAGAGTGGTGGCACCACGCCTCAGCCAGACTCAGACACACCAGCGGCGCCTGTGCCCCCAGGCCCTTCCTGCGGTAGTGGGAGAGTGCAGTGGCGCTATCTCGTTTCACCCTCTTGAGAAAAGAGCCAACCTGCTGACGGATATTCGCGACGCCATCACGGCCTATCTGCCATGCTTTTCGGCCACTCGGTGCGTGCGCGTCAATTTTCAACGCAACGTTGTCGGAGCGAACATCCAGCCCTTCGCGGACCCTTATCATCTTCTCCAGGTCAGCGGGCTCTGCGAGATCCACGTAAAGAGGAAACCCTCTCGCGAAGAGCACTAGCGTCGGAACAATCTACGGCGTCGACGCAAATCTCAGCACAGATGACATCATGATAACCACTGAGGTTCTCTGCCATCCCTTTCGTCTCATGCTGTCCAGCCGAGGCGGCAGTCTCATGCTCACCTATGAGGGCACCACCACTCCACCGGAGGTGTCCTTGTACAAACTCAAGAGGATGGTTCACCCTCGTCAGCCAAGGCGGCCATGCAACGGTGACCTGCTCGTGGGACGAGCGCTACCTCCGTTGCGGACGGCAGGGATCACAATAGAACGTGCTCCACGACGTCTCCACCCTGCATAACAGCGGCTCGATGCCTTCATCGGACTAACCACGCTGCCCTTTTTGGCAGATTCAACGCAAGGCCGCCATCATCATTGCCTCGCCAGATGGCGCCGTGACGTGCCGCCAAGTGTTGGATAAAGCCAAGGCCACAGTCAGCACCAACGACAAGCGTGGCAGCGTGGCGGTCGTGAAGGGTCACTCCTTTCGTGAAGCTGTCGCTGGTGGTGACCGATCGACTCCGGCCCTTGCCCCTCGCCCTCCCATGAGTGCAGGCTGTCATCGCAAGGACCCCATCTCCTATGACTCAGCCGGCTCCAGCTGTCGACTCGAAGGACACAGTTCTAACCAGTGCTTGCAGGCGCTAGCCGGTATTAGTAGCGATTCTTGTGGCTCTTCCAGGAGATTCGCCAGCGCATGGTTTGTGTGCGATGGCTTGGCTCGACTATGGTACTATCAAGCCTGTAGCGAGAGAGGAAAACGAGACTGGCGGCCACAGTGGTCGTGTTGTTGTTTCGCCGCTTTATTGTGAAAGGCGATTGCCGAAGCAGAGCGGCTGCGGCTGCAGCGTCCAAAACCGCCAGGCGAGTAAGTACGATCTACTTCAGCTCGCACCTCGAGCTGTGGCATTAGCTACACGAGAGGTGCAGCGCGGTGGCTAGAAAAATGACAATGATGATGAATGGCGGTGATGATGCTACAGATTACTCCCACCCGCAGAAATGAGGCCGAAATAAAAAAAACGACGGGGGCGTATATACAAGAAGGTTCGCGACGCGAGTCAGTGTCCGTAGGCAGTCCAGGTCGTGAACGATATTGGTGTATCGGGAACCAGTAACTCTCTGGCGGGCGGCTCTGCAGAAGCGCAGCGGACGTAGAACTGGCGGAAAGTACGCTGTGTTGGTACCCTGGTGGGTTCCACGACGACTTGATGGAGCCTTTAGGTAGTGCACCGGGTCTCGCGAGTGAGTGCGGCCAACAGCGGTGTCCGCAGATGCAGTTGTGGGTGGGTGCAGACGTCAGTTGCGGCAAAAAAAACGGGCCTCAGCGTTTAACTGCGGCCGGCGCGGTGGCACGGGTACACGAGTAAACGGATGCGGAAACTTCGTGGTCGAAGAACCATGCCGCGCGCAATCATAGTAGTGACGAGGTGTGTGGTACGTGGTAGGTAAGCGCGTCGGGAAGAGGTAGAAGACCCTTGCGCTGTGTCAAAGGTCATGCCCGAATCCAAGATGAAGCCCCGCTGGTTTGCGTCCGCAGTCGAGAACCCCGGAGGAGTGATGACAGGGAACGCTGCACGTGGGAACTCTGGATGAGATGCAGTCGGCGTATTTGGGATCGTGGAAGTACCTTTGAAAGTCGGCGAAAGAGGGTTAGTGCTGAGGTCGGTATGCGGAATGTCTGTCTCCGTGGCAGGTGGGGTCTGTGCGGGCTGCTGTGGTGTAGGCGAACCAGGCGCATCAGTCATGATGGCAGCGTCTCGGAAGTTAGGCCGTAGTGGTTGAGGGTCTTGAACTTCAGCTGCGTGAGGACTCTCAGGGCGATGCTGGTCGCTTCTAGCAAATCGCAGAAAGCGTTGAGGTCGATGCAAGGTCGCGTTGGTCGTACATTGTCGATGGCGAAACCTCCGCGAGTGAGGAGCGAACAGTGGCACGATGTGATGTCCGTGTCATACTCCAGGGCATCCCGCAAGGTTGCGGTAGTAGAGTCTGACGGCTCCACGCCGTCGCAGGCAATCGAAGTCGGGGAAGACGAGTGGGTTGCAGGCACACGTGACGGACTTTTCACACAAAAATTTGGAAGGAAGATTGGTCGGAGCAGGCGCGTCTTCTACCTCGTCCTGGTGGATGGACGCAGGAATGGTTGCTCCTGTAGGCGAATCTAAGGTAGAAGGGGTCGTAGACGGGGAAGTGATGTCTTCGGCAAGGTAGGGCAGCGGGCCGTCTTGTACCGCTCGCTGGGGCGGAGGGGAAACCTGGAACTCGCGGCTTCTCGGAAGTGACTGGTGGGTTTTACCATAGCAGGCGAGCACGGCAGCGCAGAGGTCGTCGAAGGCTCGAGGGCTGGAGGACGACTCAGCGGCTAGATGACGCAGCTCAACCGGGAGGTCGTCCAGCAGGGCAGCATGCATCATGGGCTGTGTCTTGATGCTATTGACTGCGAGAATGGCATCGAGCCGCATAAACCACGCTTGGGGGTAGACCGGGTGAAAGGGCAGACTGGAGGGCAGAGTTGCGGAAGCATGGCAGCAGGCTGCTCGGCGAAGGGCGTGTTTTCTGGGTCACCAATGTAGCGAGAGAGAAAAACGGGACAGTGGCCAACGTGGTCGTGTCGTCGTCTCGCCACTTTATTATGAAAGGCGGTGGCCGAAGCGGAGCAGTGGCGGCTGCAGCGTCCAAACCGCCAGGTGAGCTTGCGCCTCGAGCTGTGGCGTTAGCTGCACGAGAGGCGCAGCGCGGTGGCTTGCAAAATGACGATGATGATGATTAGCGTTGGCGATGACGTTACAAGCCTAATTATTAGCTCTCTGAAACGGCGCTACCAATAGGGCCCACTGGACTTACATCGTGAGTTAGGAGAGCCCCTTTCGTCCTCTTGTTCGTGTCAAAACGTGCGCACCACTGTAACCCATGACGCCACCCATGCGAACCACTTCTGCTTCGCATCCCGTCACTGTTCAATTTATGAGAGAGAGAGGAACGTCTTCATTCACAAAAAAGCATTAAAAAGGAGGGTATGAGAGGAACCTTTAGTTCAGGGTCCCTAAGACGACTCAAGCGACAAGTCGGTGCCGCTGTATCTGAGCTCGGAGGACCTCGAAAGGTCCATCGCGGAAAGCATCATCCCACAGCTCCTCGTTACGTAAAAGGTAAAGAAAAGCAGCTAGGGAAGAAAGATGTTCGCAGTGCCCTCGATCGAGACAAGTTCTACACCCGGGGCCACGGTCTGCATAGCACTGTGGGTAGAATTTATGAAGTGATACTGGATTAGAAAATGTTTTAGTCTGTAACTGGCGTAACGCTACTGCCTCTTCTCGCGAGGAAGATGGCGGTGGGGCGCTCTGAGTGTGACGGACGTTCCTGTAGTGAGGAAGAATGTCGTTGTGAAAGAGAAGAGGATACCCTCACTCCCGAACGGTCGCCTTGCCTTGGTGGGCCACCCAGAGAGAATTTCGCTGGCAACAGCGTGTGTGCGTTAGCGGAATTCAATTGAGAAGTCAGTAGGCCGCTCTTGGGATGCCATGTCCTCATAGGAAGTCCCGGCAAGCCTGTTGCGAGTCTGTCAATATATAGACCTCACTGTGAATACAGACAGCGCATAATATCGCTAGAGCGACTCCGAGAAATTCGCCGTGAGCAACACGTGTCCCACGCATTGCAGCCGAGTCCTGCAGGGAATTGGTGCTATATAACACTACCGAGGTGTAACCTTCGCGAGTTCGGGCTGTGTCCGTGTAAATAGTATGCGATTTCGGGAAGTCTTCAAGTATACGGCTGAGGTATTGTACGCGCGATTTGCACCGGCGCTTGTCATGCTGTAGGTGCATGTTACGTGGTAAGGGATGAACAGTTAGTATTTTCCGTATCGCAGGCGATAATGGCGTGGGGTGGGTTTCAATCTCAAGTGGTGGGACGGGATATTCGAGGCGTGAGAGGAGCTTGCGGCCAGTAGAAGTGAGTAGGAGGTGTAGGTGCTGACTGACCCAATCTGGCCCGAGCAGCTCACTTGGTGTGTTGCGTGTCCCCAACTTAAGAAGGAGACGTGTGGAAGTGTAGTCGGAACGCTGTGGGTCAGCTTTGTCACTTTGCGGATCATGGCGTCTATACGTAGTTGTTGCAATTTGGTCAACTGCTGGAAGGGCAAGTGATATGTCAGCCAGCTGATCCCACAGGCCTACAGCAAGCACAGCAGGTCCTCTTCTTTAAGGCCTTAGCGCCGATTTGATACCCGCCGGATCATGCACAGTATTTGGTCAACTTGTCGGGATAAAATGCCAACGGTGTATTTAGCTTTGCCATCCACTTGAACATGTAGTCCAAGGATGCGTGCACAAGGGACTTGTGGTATGGGTATGTCATCCGCTTGCAAAATAATTGGGGGAGGAGAGCTACTGCTTCGGGTGCGAATGACGATGAGCTCTGATTTTAGAAACACATTGCAAGCCTCTTTTTAGCGTACTCAATGACAGTATCCACTACTTTCTGCACTCGGTCCTGGATGGCTCCGTCAAAGCCCCTTGTCGACGAGATAGTGATGTCATCCGCATATATAGCGAGAGCGACATCAGGGATCTGGTCGAGCAAGCGGGGAAGCCCTGCCAGTGCGGTATTAAATAATGTAGGAAAAAGAACGGAGCCCTGTGGTGTCCCACGTGCTGTAAGGTAGATCATACGAGACCAATGCGGTCCCATTTCCACAGTGGCCGTAGGATCATAAAAAAAGAGTGGAAGTAGTTAAACATTCGAGTTATACAATGCGACTCGGCTAGATTGCGAAGGATTAGGTCGTGTTCAACATGATTGAAGGCCCCCTTCTGATCTAAAGCAATGAGTGCTCTCGTTTGGGCGCGAGATGGAGGCCCTAGGACTTCCTCTCGTAGCTGTAACAGTACATTTTTGGCCGATAGATGAGCTAGGTATACGAATTGAGAATGCACGAAGAAGGATTGCTGTTCTAAGAGGGCTGAAGACGTCGCAAGAGTACATGCTCCATCAGCTTGCCAATACAGGGGGTTAGGGATATGGGACGTAGGTTCTGAACCTGAACTGGTTTCCCCGGCTTGAGAATCAACAAAATATCGGCGTTTCGACACGCTTGTGGAAGCGCACCTTGGCGCCAGTATTTATTGAATATACTAGTGAGGTGGCTGACACTCGCATCACTGAAGTTGAGGAGTTTGGTGAACCGAATGTGGTCTGCTCTCTGTGCCTTGTTAGAGTGTAGATCTTGTAACACTAACCGTACTTCCTCAACCGTGATATCTGCATCCGACAATTCATTTGTCTCGTCTACGTGTGGATGGTCAGGATAATCTAGTGGTTAGCCTTTCGGAATGAAATGTTTTTCAAGCTCGCTGAGAAGCCTCCAGGGGTGGTCCCGATATTGGTGTATTAGGATGTGTTACTGTCGAAATGTTTTTGTTTTCCTGGTGGTGGCGTCTGTGAGGGATCAAAGAATCGACAATGCTTTTGCGGCTCCTAATGCCCCTGATAGCCGGTTGCTGAATCCTCGCCAGTTATGTGTGGTGATGGTTGCTGCGTATTCTAGCGGTTCCCGCATAATTTGACCTATTCTTTTTCTCAGTTTACGACTCAGACGCTGGCGTTTCCATCGTCGTGCCAGCCCTCTCCGCACGTCCCAAAGATGAAGCAAATGTGGGTCAATGTCTGGTGTTTCGGTGGTAGTACATAATGTGCGCGTGGTGGCCTCTATATCTTCAGTAAGAGAGCCAAGCTATCGCTCGTAACCTTGCCCCTCAGGCATGTCCCGGTGACGTTCCCTGAATTTGACCCAGTCTGTAATGCGTAAACGCCGCTCGGTACTCCAGGCCCCAATAAGTGGTAGAATGGTCACCAAAATATAGTGGTCGCTGTCAATGTGCTTTTCCAGAGGACTTGTGCTACCACCTGGCCCGTGTTGCGTGAAAAGGTGAGGTCAGAGCAGGTGTCATGTGATATACTATTGCCGATACGATTGGGGCGCTCTGGGTGCGTTAGTAAAGGGTATTTTATGTTACAAATATCATTCCACAAGGGTGTTTCTTTGGCCCGCGATTTGACATAACCGCAAACTGTATGTGGAGCGTTGAAAATCCCGCAGACCACACGAATCTGTCCAAAACGCCCGAAATTTCGTGAGAAGGCGGTGAAAGCAGTGCGTACGCGAATAGGGGCAACTGTACACACTTAGTAAAAACAAGCTTTCACTGTTGAGCATTGCGTATTAATTTTCATTATTTGGTGAGGGATGTCACTACTATAGTGGTATGCACGTGACGTGTAACATGTTTCGCAACTAAGGCTCCCCCAAGGGGAGAGGCACCCAAGAGCGTGCGGTAGCCTGATAAAGAAGGCGGACAGTTTGGTTCTTGTAAGAGGATAACATCAGGAGCGTCAGTGGATACGGCTACGTACTGCTGTAGGGACTTTTGATTTTGGCGGAATCCCCTGCAGTTCCATTGCCACACCACTGGTCGTGGAGTGTCACGTGACACCATCTTCATCGCGAGAGGAAACGAAAGGGAGTGTGTAAGGGTGTGAGTGCCGTGCACGTGCATTGTATGTTCGCGGCCGAGAGATTTGATCAAGTTTATTCT